TGTAAGTTGCAAATTTGTTGGCGAGAACCATTCAATTGTTTTTTTTTCGTGGGTTTAAATAATAAAATTTTACAAAAAATGTATGTGAAAATTACTGTGGATGATTGTAAGATCATTATAAGTGAATTTTCTTAATTTTTGTGTTTTCGCAATTTTTTTATCATGTTTATAGGTCTAAAACAACAACACCAAGGCAATATGAGAAATTGGCTGAAATGATGGCAGCCAAAAGAGATATAGCGCAGGGTTTTCAATAGCGACCCAAAGAAGAAGTGCAGGAGTTTTGGAACGAGGTAGCAACTTCCCTAAATGCATTAGGTCCCCCATCTAAGGACTCCAATGCATGGAGAAAGGTTAGGTATTACTGAAAATGATAGGAATTTGTAAAATAGATGGAACGGTTTGTTACAGCTGTGGATTGACTGGAAATGCTACATAAATCGCAAGCTATCAAATAACAAAAAAGAAATGATGAGCACCGGTTCAAGGCAAAGCCGTTTGCAGCGCATAACCCCACTTGAAGAGCAAGTCATAGAATTGACGGGCTTAATAACGTGCACAAGTGGAATTAGAGGTGCGCTGGATTTTGGAGATAGTCCTCAGGTCCAACACGATACCCAAACTGAAATGGACATTTCTGCTTATTCTGTGGATCGATAGTTTACCTTCAACCAGTAGAGCAAGCAGCCAACACCGAGAAAGAAGGAGATAAAAGGAGGACAATTCTTCTTTACTGAAAGAACAAATTGAACTTCAAAAGGAATTCCATGCCGAGACAAAAAAATTCAATGAAGCTGCCATGAATAGAATGGAGGAAATGGCGACACATTTGCGGCGCATGAACCGTTCCCTTGAAAAGGTGGGGGACACTGCAGCAAGGCAACTGCAGGAAGAGCAACGGCACAACAAAATTAAAGAGGAACTTTTAAAGCGGAAAATTGAGATTAAGATGGAGATGTTAAGGCTGGAGCATCCAGACCCTAATCTTGATTACAACTTCAAACACGTTGAAGAACTTGATTGTTAAACTTGTACCTAAAATTTTTAATTTGTATTTTCTTTTTTTGTTTTTATTAAATACATATTAACCACCGTGATATATAAGTATAAATCATAAATTGTGAAATGCACTGAATACCATTTATTTTGAAATATTATATAATATAAATGAAAGTTTTGTATCACATAACCAATCTGAGATTATTGGGTAGGTTCAGAAGGCGCAGCAGTTGAGCGCAACCGTTGCTAAAAAAATCAGTGATAGTAATGCGTATTCTGAACGGCTTGATACATTATCAGTCAAATTCAAAACACACAACATGTTGTCTCAAATGATCAGAAAAATATTACGATCATCTAACACGCAACTGTTCAGTTGATCAGAAGTACAAAACAACGCGTTCAGAAGGTGCAATCGCAACAGTTACTGAGCTGTTGCGCCTTCTGAACGTGCCCATTGATAAAACTATAGACCGGTTGGGTGAACAGCCAAGACGTTTACTTCTTAAGTGTAAAACAAAATCAAGTAATATATTTAGCATAAATGAATACACCAGCATAAAAAATCTGCATACTCAAAATGTTCAATATGTCCTCATATTTACACATACCTATGTATATAATTTAAGAGAAGATATTTCGCTGCAAAGCAATGGTTATAATTGTTAGGTTACCTTACAAAATTGCGGAGGAATATTACAGAGTATACGGAAAATAGTTTATTTTTTTTAAATTTTTTATTTTGAATAGCGTCTGGTCCGGCTATTTGGTTTACTGTACAGGTATGTAGAGCTATGAATTTAAAAAATACATCAGGGTTTAGTAGAGATATTCGCTTTTGACCACTATGTTTTGTACATTTGCCAGTGCTGCAAAGCTTTTGACTTGGGTCCCGCCACGTTAAAACCATGCCCAATGAAAAGAACACATGCCTCAGATGATACCCCCTTCTTTTGATGACGATCACGGCAAACATAGGAGGGACTATGATTTTAGGGTATGCACTTGGAATATCCGAACACTTAATCGGGATGGTGCCTCTGCCCGGCTGTTTGATGTCCTAGGGGAAATAAAGGCTGACATCACCGCTACCTACGAAATGCGATGGACGGGGCGAGGAAGGTATGCGTGGATCCTTGCGACGTCTACTACAGTTGCCACGTAAAGGAGTGCAATTCGGTGTTGGATTTGTGGTGGGAGAGTGAACGCCGGAGTGGACGAAAGTCTAGCCACAATCCGCATCAAAGCGAGATTCTTCAACATCTCATTCATATGTCCCAATGCCCCGATGGAAGAGAGGGAAGAGGCATCCAAGGCTCTCTTAGCTTAGAGCGTACATATTAGTTGAGGGTGATCGATTTCGCCGGGCCCGAAAGTTGACAGTATGTATTACTGGGTTCTAGCATAAAAAGATCCATCAAGCTACATGGATGTCTCCACATCGAAAAACGGGAAACCAAATCGAGCATGTTGTGATAGATGGAAGGCATGCTTCCATGTTTTAGATGTACATACGTACACTCCGAGGGGCAAACATCGACTCTTCTTCTTCTTCTTGATTGGCGCTGTAACCGCCTAAGCGATTTTGGCCGAGTCCAAAACAGCACGCCAGTCATTTCTCTTCTGTGCTAACTGACGCCAATTGAAAATGCCAAGTGAAGCCAAGTTCTTCTCCACCTGGTCTTTCCAACGGAGAGGAGGCCTTCCTCTTCCTCTGTTACCAGCATCGCGACCCAACCTCGGAGCAGCAAAAAAAAGGGCCCCCAACAATGCAAGGAAAGTTCAACGTAGAAAAGCTGCAATCAAAACAGACGGCCAATGGATTCGGCGCTCGACACTCACACCTGCTGTGAGAGAGCACTCTTCAACAAACCGACTTGCGCGATCAGTGGAACCACATTTCCCGCTCATTACTGGTACGATGACGAGTGTGAGAAAATGCTTGAAATGCTGTCCGACAGAAAAAACACCCGAAATTTTTAGCAGAGAGTTGAGCGACTTACGGAAGGTTTCAAGACTCTTGTAGGAACAACCATGGCGACCTAGTGACCGATGTCCAGAATGTACTCAGATTAGTTAGGAGGGAACACTTTTCGACCCTTTTGAATGGCAGAAGCACTGAAAGAAGTGGAGAAGATGAACCCGAGGTCCCAGTCGATGACGATGGAGTCGATATCCCAGCGCCTGACTATGACGAAAAGTGCCTAAGCTGCTTGAGCTGACGGCCTGTCAGCTGAGCTTTTTAATTACGATGACAAGGAGGTAATAAAGTGCATGCCCGACGACTGGAATTCAGGTGCGCTCTGCCCAATCCACAAGAAAGGCGACCCCGCCATGCGTGCCAAGGTCTTATCGAATGTATTGTCTACCATAGACCAGGTATTCACAATACCACAAATTTTGGAAAATACCCGCGAGAAAAGAATCGGCACTCACCACCCATTTGTCGACTTTAAAGCCTATATGCCGCTATGTCTGAATTTGGCATCCCCTCAAAACTCATACGGCTGTGAAAAATGACGTTGAGCAATACCACCAGCTCTGCTCTGTTGCCGTTCGCCACCAGACGGGGTTTCAGACAGGGCGACTCTCTTTCATGTGACTTCTTTAATCTGATGTTGGAGAAGATAATAAGATCTGCAGAACTGAACCGCTCAGGAACAATTTACTACAAGAGCGGGCAATTGCTGGCTTATGCCGATGACATCGACATCATCGGTAACAAAAACCGCGAAGTCTGTTCTGCCTTTTCCAAGTTGGACAAGGAAGCAAAGCGAATGGGTATGGTGGTAAACGAGGACAAGACGAAGTATCTCCTGTCATCAAACAAACAATCAACACATTCGCGCCTTGGCGCCCACGTCACTGTTGACAGTTACAATTTCGAGAAAGTAGAGAATTTCGTTTACTTGGGAACCAGCATTAACACCGATAATAATGTCAGCATGGAAATCCAACGCAGAATCGCTCTTGCCAACAAGTACTGCTTTGGATTGAGTAGGCAATTTAGGAGTAAAGTCCTCTCTCGACGTACGAAAACCACACTATAAGTCACTCATCATGCCCGTGCTGGTATATGGCGAATTAAAATACAGCGGCTCAACTGGCTTGACCATGTCGTTCGAATGGACACCGACGCCCCACCTCTGAAAGTATTCTGGCTTCACTTGGCATTTCCAATTGGCGTCAGTTTGCCAAAATCGCATTGGCGGTTACAGCGTCAAATAAGAAGAAGAAGAGAATATATCTATAACCTTATCAGTCACACAGTGTTATAATCCCGATGAAATCCTTGACGGTGGTACCGGGAGGGGAATGGTACATGACGGTAGGAAGTTTAGTTTGGGTTAAAGTCTCACACTGACGGGGTTAGACTTTCGATGCTTCCTCCTCGTAAAATAAACATGCTCAGTAAAACAGTTAACAATTTAAATCGACGAATAGTTTTATATCAACTTTTGTGAACTTCTGTTTATTTGTTTTTTTGTACAACATATTTACCTCTATTGGTTACAATAATTTTAAGCTAAAATAAACAATATTTTAGTAAGTTATTGGTTTTGAGCTTTTTTTTTTGTATGAATATACAGTTTTATAGCCAATTCAGTTTTAGTGTAATAATGCACAAGTTTCAAGTGGCTAAAAATTTCCGTTGATTTTTAGAATTTTTTTGCAGGTGTGTAGCGCTGCCACTGGATTTCAAAATATGTAAATGTTTGAAGAAATTAAAAAAAGCACTTAAAAGGGGAAAATTATATGTATATTTGTAAATGGGGTACGAAAAATGTAGGTACTTTGGCGGGTTGGGTACATAAGCGGGGAGGTACTTAAAAGAGGGATTTTGTTCAGATTACATTAAAAAATTCATGGTGCCCAAAAATGTGGGGAACTTAAGCGGGTTAGGTACTTCAGCGGGGGAGTACTTAAGCGGGTTTCACTGTATTAATATTTATTTATTTACATAAAAAACATATTTTTTTTACATTTTTATTATACCCGTTTTTGGTAAATTTTTAAAAAGAAAAATTTAATAAATTTTTGAAAAGTACGTTGTCTCTAATACGATTACCCACGGAAGCATAATTGGAATCACCGCTTTGTTCTTCTTCTGCCTCCTGGCGGATTTCAAAGTTCAATTCGTTTGCATTCAAATCTTCCACTCTGTAGTGAATGCAAATGTTGAAGTGCGCAAGCAACGTTTATAATTTAACTGACTTTTTTCGGTAAGTAATGCAGTTCCCGTGCACCCAACAAGCATCGGAAACGGTTTTTCAAGACTCCGATAGTGCGCTCCACTATATTTCTAGTTCTGGAGTGGCGCATGTTGTAATTGCTGTGTTGGGTGCCTTCACTTACAGACCGATATGGAGTCATTAGCCAGGGCTCCAAAGGATACCCCGCATCGCCTGTTAATAAAAGGGATCATTGTTCACAACTGAGTTATACACACGACTTTCACAAGTAAATAAATACCTAACAACCAGGTGTTTCTTTCACCTTCCCGATATCGCCGTTCCATATAAAATCGCAGCTTACTCAAACCCCATATATGCGAGTCGTGATTGGATCCGGAATATCTCGCATCAATACTTCTTATACGCATTTTGTTATCGCACACCTGAAAATAGAAATTAAATTTACGAAAACAATTAAATCAAATTACGGCACTGATGTAATTGAAATAAAGCTCACCACCATAGCCTTAATGCTAAAAAATCCTTTTCTGTTGTAATACAGAAAATCTTCTTCATGTGGCTTGATTATTCTTATATGCGTGCCATTAACGCACATGATGACCCCTGGGAAGCCAGCTTTCGCATAAAACTCCTGTTTTGCTTGTATTTTTATACCTTTCATGAGCATGAAATGGTATTATAACTTTGGTCCGATGTTTGTAAGTACCAGAATAAGAAGAGATAGACCCATTAAAATGTATACTAAAATGATCAGCACGTCGAGCTGAGTCGATTTAGCCATGCCCGTCTGTCCGTCTGTCTGTCTGTCCGTCTGTTTGTATGCAATCTAGTCTCTCAGTTTTCGTGATATCCGGATGAAATTTGGTAGGTGGGTGTATTTTTATAATCAAATAAAACACCTCTTTGAGTTAAAATTTTCGAGTGACGAAAGCTGAACTAGAAACACAAAATTTATGATATCAATTTCGTGACGAAAATTATACGAATTTTTTGATTTTTTCTCAAGTAGTTTCGCTCAGTGGCAATTTATACATATGTATGTAAGTAGTAGCGGCACATTGGGTGAACTAAATGCATTCATACATACATATTTAGGTACAACTACACTGAGGGAAAAAAATATTAAAATCAAATAGAAACGTAATTGATCTTACTATAAACGTCAACGAAAGTACTGTATATTGGTAAATATTCAATTCAATTACGCGCATATTAAAATGACCGCGTTCATATTGAAAAAGCATCCGCGAAGTGAATAATCAAGACAAAAACTAAAAAAAAAAAATTTAATTTGCATGTTGCCTGCAGTGGTATTCGAACCCTGACCATCTCCGGATATAAACAACTTGTGGCAATCATCTTTGTGCACTCAGCTACACCCAGCCATATAAATTTGCTTTCAAATGCTGAATATCCATCAACACCACAGCACGCGATTTGTACTATGTATGTGTGTGTTGCCACCGCTCTCAGAGCGGCGCCCTGCATGCTTGGGGTGCGTATGAACACTCATATATATACTCAGATGTGAACAGTCAAATACGTGCGTAATAAATTTTGTATGAAAATATTATTTTTAAATACGAACATTTTTAAACGATAATCAAATATAAAGTATTCATTTTTATTATGCATTATTTCCCTCAGTGTATAGGTAAATACCAGGTAGGTTAAGTGCGGGTGATAAACCCATGTAGCATAGTTATATACTGTGTACATACCTGCAATTAAAATGGGGAAGAATGTTACAATTTCGGCATGTGTCCGAAAAAAAACTCTAAAATACACATAAATTGTGGCTTCCAAGACATGTACGAAGTGATTAGCACAGCTACATCCTTCAACTTGTCAACTCACGGGAAATTCCCCGTTTTGCAGGGAATTTCGGTTTAAGTGGCAACCGGGGAATGGGCAATTTTTTTCGGGAATTGGGTATGTTATTTTTATATCTTAAAGTAACCAAATTAGACGGATATGTTAATTTTTAACCATTTGACCCTTTTTGGAGCGACATTTTTTCAATTTGAATCGAAATATCTCCACAACAACAGTTTTCCCAGATATAAGCTATATACCAGATGAAAGCTAAGGTTGTGGGCTAGACTTGTGGAAACTTATAATAAAATCGACTGACCAGTTTTTGAGAAAATGTATATATAAGCGAGTCATTTCAGCATGCTACTGTGGCTGCTTTCGTCACTCGCGCGCACTGCCGTGCGCTGTGATATTTAATAGAGCTCTTGATATTCGATTAATAGATAAAGCCAATATTATGCACACATGTTCAGATGTGTATCGATTTGTCGTGACGTGTTTTCAGTTAATTTCACGCTTGCTTGCTAGTCCAGTTGATGGTATCTGTGATGTCGCAATCTTACGAAGTACCTCCTCAAACAGATGTGAATGTGTCGTAATCATACTCTGCCAGCGGGAAGTTGCCAGCACATCAGTGGCATGACTATTTATGAAATCTATGGCTTGTGCTTTCAATTGATGCGCACTATGTAGGTCGGCTAATACTAAAGTTTCCAATGCGTTTTCTACGGAGAGGTTACTACACATAGCCTGTTGGCATTTCACTTTCAGTTTTTCGGGCGCATACTTATCAGCAGCAGTTAGAAGAACCTTAGCCATTTGTTATAAATTTGGTGCTTTGCCTGTGTTAAGAATTGACGAAATTGCGATTAAGATTTTGAAAGTAATGGTTTAATTCAAGTTGTAATTCATTTACGAAATTTCCTTATAACTAGTTAATAGTTTTAACAAAAGACTTTCAGAGGACTGTATGTAGATTCTAGATGAATGTAAACTTATGCAACTTTAATGTATGTACAAATATCGTACATATGAGCAAGTTAAATGGGATTGGTTGAGTTCAGGGGGAACTCGCGCAAAGGGAATGATACAATGAGAAAAGCAATGATGGAAATATATGTATGAATGGTTGAATGATACTTAGTGAGTAAATGCCGGTCAATATCCACGATGTGGTTGAACTCCCGCGTAGATAATATTAGATGAAAACAAGTAGGTAGCTATCGACCTGCAACGGTGTTGTAGAGGACTTTTTGTTGATGATGAGGTATTATAGTTGCTGGTTCGGTAAAACGATCCCTGCTGTCTTCTGTAGGTGTCGATCGCAAAAGAGAGGCCATGGCAAGGTTGCAATTGCCTTTTATAGGTTACACTGGAAGGTAACTGTAGCCAGTGTCTGGAATATTCAAGCAGGGGTGCTTTAATTTGGTACAAGCGCAGGGATGCATCCTTTAAGTGGGCGCAAGTCACTTGAACAGCCTGTGTAGATGAAACTTAGCATTTCTTTCAGTACTTCGTGATTGATGTCCTGGATATCGACATTGTTCTGTTCATTGTGAAGCTCTCCGCTTTCTACCAGCTTCACTCGGGTTCAAGGTTTTTAAATGACTCCTTTTTATTCACGTATTGAATTAAGATTTTATTAATATTTGAAAAACAAATTTTTTATTCGAATCGTAGAAACGAAAAAACTGGAAATTGCATGATACAAAAAACAAGGTAGTTCCATTGTCACTTTTTCGTCGCCATATTAACAACCTGACAATTAAGCAGATTGTGATATTTCGTGCTACCATACCCAATATCTAAAATCCTTCAAATTTTCTTATTAATTTTTTGTCGATTTAAAAATCTTTGTTCTTAAGCATAGTATTTTATTCCTATTTCCCGTGAAAAAGCTGTTAAATTGCATATAAAATTTCTTTCTGTGAAATAAGTGTGAAATTCCACAACATTTCCTCAGCAAAGTAGTATGTATTCTGTTCACGCTGTGAAAAAGCTTGCAACATTTTTGCAAAATGAAGCTAGCAACACAATTTTCATGACATTTTTAAATACACATGTGCATTTTAAATTGTGTGAAAATTGACAGTTTATAGTAATGTAATCCCTCAAGCTTTAGCTTAACATGGATCTAGGGATACACCCTGTGATCATGTTACTTTCCAGAAGGTGTCGCGCCCGTTTTTCTGTACATATTTCCATTGGAAATGCTTCCAGAGGTATCTATGCGTCTCCAGAATTTTAGTTTATATGGCTTATACCACTAGCTCTCGTAGCTGGCTACTAGATCGTTTTCATATAACCCCATTTTTCATAGGTTTTGGATTGATTTCATTTACCTCTATTCCAAGTTCTACGGTCGCACGCTGCATTTTCCAATAAACCCATATTTTTCCATGAGCTTGAGATTGACTTCATACACATACATATATCCATACCAAGTTCCAGAACTCTACCATAAATACTTCCACTACTACTACGAAAAATTCGATTTGTATGGGAGGTTCCACACCCCCTTTAGATATCGGTTTTGTTTTAGCCTATAACCATTCTTGGAAGATTTGTGTCCGAAATTTCAAAAAAATCGGTATAGCCGGTATGGGCATTGTGACTCCTCAAGGTAAATGAACTAATGATTCCAAAAAATGAAATCAAACGTCGTAGTTGACCAAAAACGAACATTAGACTTCATTCTCTCAACTTCTCAGAATGTAGAAAAGCTAAGAAATATATAATAAGATAGGATATATTAAAACAGCCTCCAGAACATTTACCAAAAGACGCCCCTGAACTACACAAATTAGTTTGATTGAAAATTAGGTTTTAACTATCTATTTTATACTTCACTTTTGGCTGTGTCAAAATTTCATCTGAAAACAATATGTGTTGCTAGAAAAATTTGGCGGCCATGGCTCCCAAAGTAAATTCCATTTGCTGTTAAATGGACAAAGACAATATGTATTAAATAACACGTCGAAATGTATAATTTCATTTGAATTATATCAGAATCATCGTATCAGATATAGAAAACTACATTGTGAAATAATCGGATGACATGAGGACACTGCAAAAATTTTAAAATATGTTCACTAATTGTATTAATATTAAAATAATGATTTGGCAAATTGTTATCGAATTTAATGTAAAATTTAAACGTTTTCAAGATAAGATATTAATTATATTTAAAAGGTAAATATTAACACAACTATTTTATTTATAATCCCAAATTTAGGATATAAAATCTCCCACACCAAAAAACTTACAATTGGGTAACGCCGCTTCGAATTTTTCACAACTGAGCAATTGTCAAAAATCTGCTTTTTAATCAAAAAGTTGTTTATTGAAACTACCTTCTCTTTTGTATCATGGGAAATTGGTAGCTATGGCACAATCGTTTCAGCTGACTTGTTAATATATAAATTGTACAGTACTTATTTTACTAGGTGCTCAGTGAATTGGTGTAATTCAGCTGCGAAATTAATAGCTATAGACGGGAGAGCACAACTGGGCCAATTTATGAAAACGGGGCATTCCAACGTGACGGGTGGGACATTTTAACTCGTTTTTGCTCAAACTTTATGTAATTTCTCTTTAACCATTTATTGGATAAGTCTCAAAATCTTAACACTTGAAGTCATATATCAGTTTATTACGAAACTAATATACTATAAAACTTAATTCTATAATTTACATAGAAAATTGACATTTTCCAAAAGTGGCGGTTGGGACAACGATGACTCCCGCCTCTATAAAGAATTATCGAAATCGGTTGACGTGGTTCAAAGTTATGCGGAACATACATAAAAAATAAAATAAAAAAGATAAAAATATTCCGACGAACTGATAACCTCCTCCTTTTTTGGAAGTCGGTTAAAAACCGAAGGTTTTCCATTTATCCTCATAATAAACCTCAAAAGCAGGCATGGGCGACTCCGACTACGCAGTACCCTCGGGGTAGCGTTGCGTGTTCGTAAACACGAAGCTGAAGCTGAAAATTAAGCGACAATTATTTACCAATCCATAATGAATCGGTTAATTCCATACGCTAAATTACACTACATTTTCGCCTTCCACTTCGTGTATACGAACACGCGACGCTACCCCGAGGGAACTGCGCAGTAGGAGTCGCCCAGGCCTGCTCAAAAGCTACATTTTTTTTATACAGACCAGGGAAGCCAACTCGTAGGAATTCCCCGATTTGCGGGGAATTTAAGTTTGCGTGGGGAAACGGGGAAAGGACCGTTGTGGGGAATTTCAGTTTACGTAAGAAATCGGGGTTTGAACTGTTTTTTGTAAGGAATTAGGTGTTAACTAATTTTCAGCCACTTGAAGCTTGGTTTTTATTATATTAGAAATGGGTGAGCTACAAAACTTTCAAGAATCTTTCTACAAAATCTAATTAAAATGCTCGAAATTTTTAAGAAAGTTTGTTTGATTTTTTTTTTTAATATTGCATAAAGTTTGAAACTTGGATATATATGGGTTTTGTTAAAGAAAGAACCATATTAAAAAAAAATATCTCAAATTAAATAGCAAACAAAAAATAATAATAGTGAAAGCTGGTCAAAATTTGGATGGACTACAGTTTTTTCGACCCCTCTATTTATTCTTTATTTGTTAACTAACTTTATAACCGTTTTGTTTGGTTTATGTATACATATGAATAAAATAAACAGAAAAACGAGCAGTGTTTCAAAATACATACAAATTTTTTTGTAAATAAGGAGATATCTATGTGTGGGGAATTGAACGAAATTTCGAAGAAAATCGGGGAATTTCATTGTCGAAATCGGGAAATTATCAAAAATGAGTTGGCTTGTTTCCTATCTTTTGTTGTTTTAAAGATAAATGTAATTTTAAGTGGTCTTTAACGTTATATTTTTTGGAAAGCAGTTATATATAACGTCACACATACGGAAAATCTTGGCGAATCCTGCAAAGTTAAAAAATAAACTAAAGTATTTTAAAAATGATCAAGGTTCATATTGGATAGAATACGTTGATGAGAAATCTATAAACCGAAATATGTGGTGGTTGTTTTTGGGGAGTGTTGCTGGAATGACAGTCCTTGGCCAGATATAAATCTGGGACGTTCCGGTTACGTAGACTCGACTGTCGTGGGAACTCCGAAATATGTTGTATTTAACTTACTACTAGACTATACTCCCCATTTTGATCGTACGCGAGTCACAAGAGAAATGAACGCGCACCGCACACATTGGATGTCAATTGGCACTTGTTTCTAGACGCTTTAAGATGTATGTTGACAAATGATGCCAAGAGTTGACGGGTGAGTCAAAGTAATATTTTTCTTCACTCGTTCCTCGTTCCCAAAATTTTGACCATATATTTACATATACTTTATTTTATGTCGTCCTGCTCTCCTGAATTATGTACTGCATTGTTATCTGCAGTGTTGCCAACTTCTGAGTTTCAAAAAGCACCAAAACTTGGGAAAAAAAACGTTTTACCGTACTAAAAGCACTAATTTTTTTATACCAAAGGATATTTTTTTCATAACAGTTTGTATTTAAGAAAAGTGAAAAAAAAATAATAATATTTATAAGTATAATTCAATACACAAAACTTTTTCTCATGCTGACGAAGTAATACCGAAGTAAATACATACTGCAGATTAAAACTGCTATATTTATAATAATAATAGATTGGCGCTTACACATATGTTAGTGTTTGGCCGAGCTTCTCCTCCGATTTGTGGCGTGCGCCTTGATATTGTCACACAAAGGGGGTATGCTGGTATATTTAGAGGAAGAAAAATCGAATCGCAACAAACGAAAAAATGAATGTAGATTCTTTTAAATTCAGTGCTGCTACAGCTTTAAATATTTCAAATTATTTCATGTTCTAACCATCTATGAGAAATTTGAGTTCAGAAGAAGAGCACTAAAAAGGGCACTAGGCACTAAAAATTTTTTTTGGCGTTTTAATTTTCAAAAGGCACTAAATCTAGTGCTTAAAGCACCAAGTTGGCAACTATGGTTATCTGTTCCAATTCCTGTGCCTACAGCTGGTGCGGAACGATCATTTTCGAAACTAAAATTATTAAAAACCTACGTGAGAAACTCTATGGGACAAGTCAGGCTACGTAACTTGGCTATTCGGTCTATTGAAAATTCTTTGGCTCTATCTTTAAAGATTGATTATGTTATAGAATATTTTGTGGAACAAAACGCTCGGAGAAAATAATTTTATTAATAAACATGTTATCAAAATTAAATTGTTTCTTCATTATAAATATGTATAAACCCATGCTCTTGAAAATAAAATTTATTAGATATTTAATCAAAATGCACACATTATTGTTAAGTGGTTTATTAACCCTAGAGTCAAGGCGTATTTAACAAGGTGGTGTTGGCCGTA